AGAGCTTGTAGGTACAGAGAACAGGATCCCTCAGCCGGGTCCATCCTGCTGGGGGGGGCAGTGAGCCAGACACCCACGTCTGCACTCACCCCTCGTCCTCAGCTAGCTCCAAACTAACTCCCCCTCCAGCCCTTCTTCCTCTGGGCTTTGTTCCTTTCCCGGGCCAGGAGGTCACTGGATCTCTTTGTTCTCCGACATCTTTAGCTATCTCCTTGCTGGGGGAAGGACTCCGGCCATTAGTTACCAGGAGATAGAGTGTCGGCCATTTATGTGCACTGGCCCTTTGCTCTGCAACATTCTCACCCCCTAGAGACTTAAGAAATGTATAGGGGAAACTGGGGCACCCACACAGTATTCAGAGGAAACATTAAGAATAGCCCCACTTCATCACAGAAGCCACCAAAGATGAACACATTGCATTCAAGAAGTTCATTAACAGAGTTGTGCAAAATTATAACAAGAAACCAAGAAGGATGTAGACTTAGTGCTTCAGAAGGCTTGAGTAGCCAACTTTAATTTGTGTGATGATTTTAAAACACGACTTAAATCTAATAAAATGGTCATGAAACATTTTTCAGTTTTTACTATGGTGCCATACAGCCCACCTTCACCCTCACAGTCTCACCCCTCGTCGGCCCTGACACACACAACCCTGTAAATTCGAACACCTCCCCCCCCATTTCAATTCCTGGGGAAACCACTGGGCAGCGCAGGGGGTGGGCTTGCGGTGGTGATAGTGCAAAAGTAAATTCCCCTCCCCCCCAATCCCTCCCCGTTTCAAAGCTGCTAGTCGTGGCCCAAGGAGTGCCGACCCTTGCCACCCAAAACACCGGCATATCTGGGAAACTGTGAAGGAGCAGAAAAGCACCAGGGGGGTGGGATCACATGCACTATTGTTTGCAGTCCGAGCCATCACAATGGAAACTGCCACCGTCTCCCTAGCTGATATCACTCTCCGGAATGTTATCCCCTTACTAACATTCAGTGGAGGTGTTTTGGTTGTTAGCTCCCAGTACCAAAAGGGGAGGGGTCGATGAGAAATCAGGACCCTGAGACTGACAGTCCCCAGGGGCAATGGGGAGAGGCCAGTGCTCCAGGTCAGCCTGATTGACAGGGCAGGCAGGCTAATCAGAGAGTCAGGAGGCCGGGGGGGGGTCCCGTCCTCCATGCGAGCTGGAATTGCCTGGGTCAGACAGAGTGGGGCCGAGCTAAGGAGAGAGCAGGGGCCAAGCTAAGCTGCTGGGAGCAGAGCTGCAGCCCCAAAGCCAGAGCACAGCCCAGAGAGAGCAGAGCTGCCCTGGGGGGAGAGCTGCAGCAACCAGAGCCAGAGGGGCCAGACAAGCAGCCAGGAAGCAAGTCAGAGCTGGGAGCAGAGTCACAGAAGCAGCCTGCAGAGCCGACCTGTCCTGGGAGCAGAGCTGTAGCCACCAGAGCCAGAGGGGCCAGAGAAACAGTCCAGGGAGCTGGAGGCAGTGGGCCCAGCACAGGGAGACGCCTCAGCCAAGAGGCTCTGCAGGCCCAACTTGGAGGGGGATCGTAATCCTGACGGGGTGAGGGCGACGCTGGGAAGAAGGGTCCTGCCACCTAGAGCCTGAGAGCGTGTGGCCACCGCCAGAGCAAGTGTCCAACCCACAGCATCCCTGCAGCACAGCCAGGGCCTGAGAAGGAGGCCTGGGACCTACAAGGAACAGACTGTGAACTGCCCTGACGTTCCAGAGACATTGTTTGTGATGTTCCCCGCCACAGAGCGGGGTGATGTTTCCTTCAGCCTTTTCCATTTTTCCTTATTTCTTGTTAAACTAATTGTTAATTAAATAAACGGTTGCTTTAAATCGTATGTAATAATTAGTGGCTCAGGAAAGCATCTAGTGCAGAGAGAGTACCCCAGAGTGGGGACACCCTAGCCCCTGACCTAGGTGACCACAGCAAGGTTGGGGGTCAAGCTCCCCTGGAATCCTGGGCCCAACCTTGTTGGGGTTACGAGGACTCTGCCAGACAGGAGAGTGCAAGGGGAGTCTTTGAGGGCAGGGAGGCCTCTGGGTAAAGGAAGTGGGAGCGAGGACTCAGATCCTTCCGCGAGCCCATTTCACCAGGGTAGGGCAGAAGCCAGGAAAGTTCCCCACAATAGCGGGACCATTCCCCCGCTTACATAATGGTAACAGAGGTGGCAAAGGGAACAGATGCTGCAAACGTCTGGGCACACACCAGCTCCTCGTGCTGTTATGCTGTGTACTGCGATGATGCCAGCAGAATTAATACTGGAGTTGCGTCGGAAAGTGTCCTATCGCGGTGGAAAAAATAAGTCAGCTCTCCCCCGAAACCTTCTGCAACAGATTGCAGAGTACCTCCATTAAACTTTCCTGGGTGTCTCTATGGAGGATTTCTGGGCCATCTCTCTGCACATAAACAGAATTTTCTGTGGGGCACCGTCTATGTAGCTGGTGTGGGCACTGGGAAGCAGATAGCCACTGTACCGCCTGATATTTTAAAAATTCAACATAGAGTATTAGAACATGTGACCTCCCCCCAAATATTAATTGGAATTGCATACTCACCAGAGGTGCCTTCCCTGGCATCATGGTCAGCCACGATGCTGTTCTGTGACTGGCTGGACTGCTCCTAGCTCTCCAGGAGAATGGATCCCCCACTCACCTGTCTCCCATTCTCCTCTTCCAAGAGCTCCTCCTCAGTGTTGCCTGCGGTGGCTCGGGACTCCAACTCCTCATAGGTATCCATATTGCTCTTGGGGGTCGTTGTGAGGTCATCACTGAAGCTCATTGTAGAAGTGGCATGTCTACAGTAAGGAACCAGAACAACTGTTCACCTCCCTGGTCTTCTGGTATGCCCGCCAAAGCTATTTGATTTTCATGTGGCACTGCTGAGTGTCCCTGGTGTAGCCCTTGTCCCCCGTGTCCCATGCGATCTTTTCATAGATGTCTACGTTACTACGGCTGGATTGGAGCTGTGCCTGTACAGACTCTTCTCCCCACAGACCAGTAAGATCCACCACCTCCTCTGTATTCCAGGCTGAAGCATTTTTGGGACGTTGAGTGTGTTTGAAACCCAGCCCTTACTGTGAGCAGGATTTGAACCTGCACAGGGAAATTCCACGGGATTTCAAGTCCAATACCTTAACCACTCAGTCATCATGGCTGCAGATTGAAATGTTGAGTTGCCATGATCAGCCATGCTGGTGAGTGCTCCACGTTGAACAAACGGGAAAGGGGAATTCAAATGTTCCCAGGGCTTTAACAGGGGAGGGGCTGTTTCCTGTGTAACAGGCTGCTGAGCAGCGGAGTTGAAAACGTTCACCAGAGCGGTCACAGCGGCGCATTATGGGACACCTCCTGGAGGCCAGTAAAGTCATAAGCAATGCACTATCTACACTGCCTCTTCGTCAACCTAATAACTTTGATTTAAGAGCTATGCCTCTCGCAAAGATGGAGTAATTAAGTCAACGTAGCAGATGAGTTACGTTAGCAGAATGGACACAGCGTGGACACAGACATTATTAGGGTCAACGTGAGCTGCCTTACGTCGACCTACCTGTCTAATGTAGACCAGGCCTACGTCTTACAGATTCTTTCTGCATAACATCCCTAAAATTTGGCCTTTCCTCTCCATCCCCACAGCTAAAATTTTCATCCAGGCTCTCATCATCTTGTGTCTCGCTTACTGTAACATCCTTTTTTGGCGTCTTGATATTGTAATCCCTTAAAACATTTAAATAAAAAATATACATATGGTGAATCCATGAGCTACTATAAAAAACCTTGAGTTAAAGGCTGCTTTTCTATATAAAGAAAGAATCAGGGTAAAATCTAATTTTTGAGGTCAAGCTTAATAAATGTGGCACAATATATTATGCACAGTATTAAGGGCTTGATCCTGCGGGGACCCAGGGGCTGTGCTGCTGGGTGCAAGAGACTGGCAAAGTCATCTCAGACATTGGGACCACAGCTCTGTCTGCAGGAGACATCGTCGTGTATTTCAGGGGTAGGCAACCTATGGCACGCGTGCCAAAGGCGACATGTGAGTTGATTTTCAGTGGCACTTACACTGCCTGGGTCCTGGCCACTGTTCCAGGGGGCTCTGCA